GGAGTACGGGGTACAGTTAATGGTTAATTGCAAGCTCTTTTTTAATCCTACTTCCAGTCTAGGTTTAATTCCGCTTCTGGGTAGGTGAATGACAGCTTCTTTTTGGACTCCGTTTGTCTAGTGCATTCCTTACTCGGTGTTGCTGAAAGACCTGGACATGAGGAATTTGAGGGAGTTGGAAGACCTGATCATTGAAGCTGTCTATACAGACATCATCCAGGGGAAGCTGGATCAGCGCAACCAGGTGCTGGAGGTGGATTTTTGCATTGGCAGAGATATTCAGAAGAAGGACATCAGTAACATTATGAAAACACTCCAAGAATGGTGAGCTGGCACACTGCTCGGCCTTCTCTGCCTTGCTTTCTGTATGCGTCTCAAAGGGAAAAAGCTCGTTCTGACTTTTTCTGATTCAGGCGTGAGTTGGGCTTCAATATTCCATTCTTTAGCATTTGTACTGGCAGCAGTTGTCTGGGAAAGGGGCTGTTCTTGCTCCCCAGCAAATCCTACCAAGCTGTATCCCAGAGTCCCAGTCATTTAAACTTAAGGAGGCTGTGAATGCAAAGTGGTTGAATCACCTTTGTAGGCCTCCCTTCCTTGTTGCAGATGGTCTCTGCCTTATTCTAATTTGCTGGAAAGCTGCCCCCACCAATCTTTCTTATGGGATTCGCTCCCACAGATTCCCTGTGGAGTGGCAATACTTGCCTAGCTTATTTGTTGATGGGGGCCTTAGGCATACAACTAACATTAATTTGCTATGAAAGCATGATTTCATAGACATTAGGGCTGGAAGGGACCTTATGAGATCATTGGGTCCAGCCCCCTGCCCGAGGGGCAGGAAGTCAGCTGGGGTCAGATCACCCCAGCAAGATAAGCATCCAAGCATTTCTAACCCAGAGTTGCTGGGTCTTTTAGTCTTTCCCTTTTCCTCCTTGCCTCTGCCTCCCTGACTCTGCTGTGAGAGGATCCTTCCAGGATCCTGCTGCATTGTCTGGTGCATAACTATGAATCTATTTCAAATGCCCTTTCTGTTCTTTCCCACTGTGAATAGCAGTTGAAGAGTGTTCATGTCGCACCATTTGGTAACTTCTTGGAGGGTCTCTGTCAGACCAACCTTAATTTTTGTTAATGTTCTAAGTTTGTTAAAGTTTATTGCATCTCTTTGTACATAATAAACCCTGACCTTTTAAAAAGGTTTTAAAGACTTTTACTGCTCTGTTGGGGAGGTCTGATGAGAGCAGTTCCAGCAAGCATTTGCAGACCCATCTTCTCTGTTCCCACAGCTGCCTTCTGCCTCTCTGGCTTCAATTTTGGCTTTGCCTCTGTCACTGCAGAGCCCAAGGAAGTGTGTTTCCATGGGCATCTCCTAGAGCAGGGGTGTCCAACCTTTTGAATGTGGGGCCAGATCATGAACTTTTTATCACCTGGTGGGCCAGCGAGCCATATTCAGAGACCTCACAGGAAGCGGTATTGCATCACCCCCCCCCCCCCCCAAAAAGAAAAGACGTTTCCCGTCACAGCACCTCAGGTCTCAGAAAACAGCTTGGAGGACCGCATGGCGGCCTGTGGGCCGTATGTTGGACAAGCCTGTCCTAGAGCCACCAACCAAGCAACGGAGCAGAGTAGATGCAGAGAGCTGCCAAAACCACAAAGTAATCAGTGGAGCAAAGTGCTGGCTTTTCCCTCCTGTAGTCATCTCAGCTGCTCACGTTCTTATGTCCTCCAGTGCTTTCAGGCATATGTTACTCTTCACATTGATGAGGTCTTATGCACTATTGACCAGCCCTTGTGTATCCAATTTTCAGGTGTGATGGGTGTGAGGCCGTTCTCTTAGGAATCGAACAGCAGGTGCTTAGAGCGAACCAGTACAAAGAAAACCACCACCGGACGCAGCAGCAGGTGGAGACAGAGGTAGGTACGGAGTCATCCTGCCTTGGCCTGGTGTTTGTAGGTAGTGGTTTGGGGAAATGTTACTGCCAGTTAAAGTGAGGAGCTAAGGGTCTGGCAAAAGTGTGAATGTAGGCTGGTGTTTCATAACCTTACACGCCCAGCAATGTCATCACGCTTTGCTCCTTACCCTGCAGCACTCCCAGCTATCGGGTACAGGTTTTCTGTTGAGTGGAAACCAGCAATCCTGACAAACACATTATTTTGATAGAGAAGTCCTCTAGGAAGATCCCTTGTGTCCAGTAGCTTACAAACTTCACTGAAAGCCTGAGCCAGACTTGACTGACTAGCCTCTGACGGGGTTTCTGAGCCTTCCTTAATAAATATGAGCTAGGCAGGAAACGCTTTGGGAGTTCCCTTGGTTGGTTTGTTAGGAACCCCATTTTTTTAGCACACAACAGCGATGGAAGTGCAATGCCTATGAAATGATGAGTTTCCCTGAATAACAAATCAATGAATGAACAGATTGAACCTAGTGAACTCCACATATTTTAAACATGAGAATGCTGTTAAAGATTTCTCTGCATCAGCCTTCTGAATTTATCAGTGGTATGATGTAGGATACAGGGAGACAGGGCTGAATCCTAGAGGGTCACAACCTGAGGGATCAAGGTCAGGGAAGCAAGGGTCCCAGTTAGGGCCAGGAGATCAGGAACAGGTGGGTCAGAATGTCTGTAAGAGACTGGGATCTGGGTGATCACCAAGCTAAGCCATGAACCAGGAGTCTGGTGTCTGAAGACAAAGGCCTGGACTGGAGTCTGGAGCACAGGAAGCAAGGTGCTGGCAAGGCTGTCTGGAACAAGGAGTCGGCAGACAAGGATCAGAAAGGAATGGGCAGAAACCAGAAGCAACGATGAAGTTGGGAAGCAGGACCCAGGGAACAAGAAACTAGGAACAAATAGGCAGGATCTAGGGATTGGGAAACTAGGAATCAAGAGGTAGGAAACTAAGAGCATAGAACCAGCAGCCCAGGGACTAGACAGGAAGGCTCTGTCCTGTTGAGTAGCCACCTGGACACTGACACTGCAAGAGCTGCTTTGAAGAGGCAACTGCCCACACAGGCAGCTGGGGGTAGTTAGACTGCTGGCAGCCAGGCTCTCTCAGGTAACCAGGACTGCTGTGGGCTCTTCAGTCTGCCTGCTGCCCTGGCTCCTGACAGAATCCTGCCTTGGGATGGAAAGGAACTTTGGAGTCTGTCCTTAAAGACCCTTCTTTAGAAGTTGTATAAAATGTGCTCTTAGCAGCTTCCCTCAGTGAAGGAGACTTGTCCACATTAACCCTACAGATAGATGGCTGCCCATGACCCCCACGGGTCACATTTTCATGAGTGAGCAATGATTTTTGGCACCTGATTTGAAGGCTTTACCTGGGGCTGATGTTTGCTTGGTGAGTGTTCAATGGGACCTGAAAGCCTAGGTCCTTCCAAGTGTGGAGATGACAGAACCTCTGCCCTGTCTCTGAGAAGGAGAAAAGCCGGTTTCTCCTGAGCGGCTGTAATTTTGCAGCCAGTCGGCAGAGGGCAGCAGAAGCCCATGAGTGCAGCCTGGGGGAGTCATGGTTGCTTGCGAGAACAGAGCTTGGCTAATTCAGCTGTAAAAGTGAGAATGGTCCTCCTGAGACTCCAGCTCAAGATTTATTTCTTGCAGCCTGTTGCATCCCTGTAGGGTCCCATTCACTTACTGAAGCGGTTTCTGTTCAGCGATGGGGTTGGGTCCCACAACGTGTTTGGTTTGGTTTGGATAGGACTGATCCTGCCTAAAGCTCGGGCTGCAGTAGATGACCTCTGGAGGTCCCTTCCACCCCCGCTTCTCTCTAAGGCATTTCAGCACTGGCCTGTGCAGTCCTGACCCCTGGTTTTCCCTTGAGCTGCTCTTTACCAAATTGCTCCTCATAGTTTCCGTGGCAGTGCCCTCAGGCCCCATATTTGCAGATGGAGTGCAGTGCTGCTGGCCGTGCCATGCTTTTGCTGCTTATTTCCCATCCAGCCCTGGATTGGCAGGCTGCTCCAAGTGCTGATTTCCTTTGCTACCAGTTTTGAGAGCTGGGTTTACCCCCTCTATTGCAGATGCCCCCTCTTCTACAGTCACCTCAGGCTTGTCAGGTGATGTGACAATTGCCTTGTACAGCCAGATAGATTACTGGACTAGATCCACCATTGATGTGACGCAGCATGGCACTGCTTCTGTTCTTAACAGGTGCCTATCTCCAGCAGTAGCTGAAACGGATGCTAGAGGGACAGCATTGAACTCGATATCACTAGAATGATCTATCCGCTATTCAGCATCCACCGTTATCGGTTCAGAGACACCAGAGAAAACATCTCCAACCGTTCTGTTCAGTAGCCATTGATAGAACTATCACCCATGAATTTATCCACTCGCTTTATTTATCCACCTGTTGGTGCTCATTAGGTTACTCTCGGTGTCTAGTCTGAGGGACCAGCCACCCTCAGTTGCCTCCAAACCAAGTCCACCATGGGGCATTGGCAGTTACAGTTCCAGGCAGGACATCTGCCCCTCAGTCGTGCTGTCGGATAAAACTCAAGAGCAATTAGTGTGTTCACACGTGAGCTTTGTATCTGATGAGCTCCTCCTGGGCCTCTGCAGGCGTTTCCAGTCTCTGCTCACAGAAGGGGCTTCCCCTCTTGCAGACGGTGGAAAAGGCAAGTGCTGATTCTGTCTCTTCTCGCCCAGGTCACAAACATAAAGAAAACGTTAAAAGCCACAGCCTCGTCATCGGCTCAGGAGATGGAACAGCAGCTGGTGGAGCGCGAGTGTCCCCCGCATGCAGAACAAAGGCAGCCCACAAAGAAGATGTCCAAAGTCAAAGGGCTGGTCTCCAGCCGTCACTAGAACACACCGTGGAGGTGTCTTTCGGCCCAAAGGAGCAAAAAAAGGCCCCGCGTCTCCTGTTCAGTGGGTTCTGGGCCAGTCTTCGCCAGGCTGGCTAATAAAAGCCCTGTTTGAATCCAGCCCCAAACTGGCAGTGCCTGACAAAGCTACACTGTGCAAACTCCATTCGCGTCCAATCTGTTACTTGTTCTAGGCCTTTTGAGAGGGACTTTTGGACAGAGGTGATTAACAGAAAGGAGCAAAAAAACATCAATCAAGTAAAAAAAACAAAGCCTGTGATGCAAAATAAAATGGCATCTGTGGAAAGTTTTCTCCCTCTCAGCCTCTTCAGAGGAGGTTGCCATGGTAATTCAGACCTGAAGCTAAGATAACCTCAGCTGGGGCAAACGTGAATACCAGGTAACAGACTTGGATGCAGAAGCTGGGCTGAGAGAGAGGACACTATCCACACAGATTACTGCCTCCCCCCACCCCAAAGGGAGTCTGAGAACGTGACTATGTCAGGAACTGCTTTCCATTGAAATCTCCAGCCCCTCCCTCCCCCCTGCCCTCTCAGACCAGGGTGACTTCACACTACCTCGCTCTGTGATGGTGAGACCCAGTGCTGGGCTATGTTTACTTAACCTCCCGTTTACTGCCCTTACCAAGCCTGTTAAGCTGCCGTTGGTTTAAAAGCACTAGGCCGCAACGTTGGAGCACCCATCCAGCAGGAGGGAGCAAGCTACTCTCACTTGAGCCTTCTGTGTTCCCGTAATTCGGGACCTCTTGGAAATCATGTTCTCTCTCAGTGTCTGCTGCGTCCTCCCAGGGCTGCTGGCGATCGGTTCCCCTGCTGAGATCTTTGAAGTGCACGGTGCTCGATCTTCCTTGGAGCTGACGGTTTGTTCCAACAGTGACCTGTGTAGAAGAGACCCCTGGCCTGGTGACAGGCTGGTGACCCAGGACCCGCTGACAGGGGTGGCGATGGCGCCCCTTTGCTGCCGCGATGGACTTTACCAGCCTTTCTGAATTTGAACACTTTCAGGTTGTATTTTACTTTTTTTTTTTCTTTTTGTACATTGTTGTGACTCTAAAGCATTTCCGCCTTCGTTCTGTGTTTGATATTTGTTACAGACTAACTGCAGGTGACTTGCACCTAGTTTGGCGAGGGGCATGGGGATTTTGTTTTTTAAGGGGCGGGTGGGGTCAACATGGAAACTGCCATTCACACGAACAAGCACATTTTAGAGAAAATTAAAAATGCTGGTTTCACGCAAGGCTCCAGACTCTTGGCTTTGGTAGCAGCCGGGGGCTCTTGGGCACACACTGGTTAGACTCTTGGGGCAGGTCCATGGCTCTCGTGATCTGGGCCTTCTCTCTGTTCTTGACTTCCCAACACACCTGAGAGACAGCTTATGCCTCTTTTACAAGCCGGGGGCTGAGGCAGGAAGAGAGAAATGCCTTGCCCAGGGTTGTGTAGGGAGAGGCAGGAGCTGAGTCCTGATCTGAGTGTGAGCAGGTTGGTGGCTTGGCTCCCTCCTGCCTTTGAAGCCTCCTCAGATCAGCTCCTTTGCTTGAGGCATTGTCAGAGGGTGACACCTACTTGGCCAGTCCCCGCTCTCTCTACTTTGCTGCTCTGCTTATGGAGAAGCTTCCAAATGCCAGCTCCAGGAGCAGAGCCTGGCATCTGCCATGGAGCTGAACAGACCACACAGTACAAAGAGCATCCCTTGACTGGTCTGGCTTTCCCAGGGCCAGTGCCAGGCTGTATTTCTTCCTCCAGGAGCTGCAGCCAGCTACTGTGTAGATGGCTCATGCACCACGAGCACCCTCCTCTGGGTGCTGACATGAACCCTTAGCAAGCTGCGCACTCCCTTTCTTCGCCCCAGAGGTGTACTAAGCTTGGGCCCTCTGCTGAAGGTCAATGACTCTCCTCCTCCTTTTGCTGGGCACACGAAGAGCTGGCTTATAGCAGGCAGGTGGGCTCATCTCAACCATACCTTGATGGCAAGGAATTATCACCCCACTGCCAGTTGCTTCTTGTCTTCTCCACTCCCCACTTAGGAAGCCCAGCCAAGCAAAAGCTGTGTTGGTGAAAGGTGCTACGGGCCAGCCTGGAGAAGCAGTGTCTTCTCACAGCTGAAGAACATCTCTTCCCCAGGCAGCAGCTCTGCTGGCTTCTCCATGGGGCCTACCCTCTGCAGGCTCCCTCCTTGGCCTCGGGGACCACGTCTAACAGACTTTTGTGCTGTGAAGCCGGAGATTGAGCCACATTGGAGTGTCCAACATGTCGGTCAGTTCCTGCTGCCTCTTCTCCCAGGACCAGGAACCCTTGAGGCCTAAGCGACTTGTCTTTCCTTCCGGTGCTCCAGGGAGCAGTGTCAATCCATCACAGCTCCTTCAGTGGTAAGGTTTCAAGCTTCCTGTACTTCTGCTCCAAAATTGCAAGGCCTCACTGGGAGCTGACACCATTTTCCTTCTAGTCCTAGAGAAACAAGGGAAAGTTACCAGTGGCCCCATGCACAGAGTGACCTGGTCCCAGGCTTTTTTTGGGGGGGGGGGGGGGGGGGGGAGGAGGGGAACG